TGCCTGCAGTAAGTACTTTTAAAAACTTCGTATTACACCTAACGTTAAGTATCAGCCCCAGTCGGAGCACATGAGTATTATATGCACATTAGCATGTACGGCGATTAGCAAGCATGTGCTGTGGTGGTGACACCGACAAAAAGCAACAGATAGAACATATGTAAGGCTTTTTATGTTCCCTTTGTTATCATTAATATATCGTTTCTATGATTTGAGTCTATTTTGTGCCAATTCACTTAAATTGAATTATGTGTTAGGCCTATGTGTTTTAGTGAACTTGGGTTTGCAGATTGCACAAGTGTAACGTTAGTTAGTGTAATTATTTTCCAAAATATGTGCGTTAATCTTTAAGGAATTCCTTCTATCATTTGCATTAATGTAAATGCAACATATATGAATATAAATTATGTACAATATTAAAATCAGGATATAGTACATTATTCAATAAACAGTATAAAAATGTAGTGTTATATTGGAATACATTATATTAAAAGGTGGTTCTAATATTCATGCATTTGGGATTCATAACTCTCTGTGGAGAGTGCATTAAAGTGGGGGGGAAATCATATTCCATCATATTTCAACTAGTTTTAACTGCTGCTCGAATCTTTTGAATTGTATTTATGCATCATGTAATAGCAGTGGGTTGTATTTAACCCAGCATTTTTTAGAGTGTAGAAATGAAACTAAAAGACTGTTTCCTCTGTTTCAGCTTTGGGCAAAGTGAAACATAAACAGTGAGTCTATGGGCCCATATAAGCAGGGCCGTCGCTAGTGGGGTGAAAGGTGGTGACGATTATAGGGGCCCACGGCTGAGGGGGGGCCCCCCGGCGATCTCAACCGACTGGCTGAGGCCAGCATAAAAATACGCTCAGGACAGTTGACGGGCCACTGCTGCGCATCGTCACGAACGCTTAGCCTATCATTTGCACGTGTTTTTAAGCCGTGCCAATTTAAACATTCAAAAGAGATTAAAGCATTCAAACACAAGACGCAGAAAAACTCAGCTGAGTACTCACGTGCCTTTATTCGGTGCGCACGCATGAGTCGCGTACGTATCACGGACAGCAACACGAACAAGAGCTCTCCTTCGCGTCCTCCTGCACCTGAACTAACAAATACAAATCGCAGTTTAAACATGCAAACAGAAAAAGATGTGAAAGAGCCCAATTCAGCACCCGCGCGCAGTGTTCTGTGCGCACAGAGCGCACGCAGAGAGACTCGTCTCAAAGCGCTTGAACACCGAATTTGCTTCTTCTTGCTCTTGTACCGATAAATACATACAAAATTATGTCAAAATACCCGTCTTGGAGAGTATCCTCGATAAAAAAACTGTCGGTTATGTCTTAAGTGAAAGTAAACAATGGAGAAATAAATCGGATGTGTATCATTATAATGGATGCATTGTCTCTTAAAGTGACTAATTTACCAGCTGCTGTCGGTGTCCTTAATGTTAATCCAAGAAAATGAAAGAAAGAAAATCATTCACTGCTCTTGACTGAATTACTTTGTAGTTTAAACAAGAATTAATCCACAGTCAAACCAAAAATTATTCAGACACCAGATATAATTTTTGATATGTTTTACTAGTGGGTGCAGGAGGACACTATAGTTAAATGATGTAAGTGAGTATAGCAAAATAAAGTAAACTGTGACATATTATACCCAAAAATTCTTCATACAGTGGACTACCAGTGAAATTGATTTTAAAAAATTGAGACCAAAAATTATTCTGACACTTTGACCTGACCATGTTTTGCTTAAGTGTTTTTTTATTATCCTGCTATTTTGTACTATACATGCAGAACATATTTTAGAAAATTGTAAAATTTGTTGGCATTGCACTTTGAAAGATGTATATGTAATTAAAATCCTAGAGAGTGAAAACATTGAATGACAGGACATTTTTCCTGTCAGCTGTTTCACTATTGCAGTGGTTCAAAGATCCCCGACCCCACTGGTTCTGCTGAAATGACAAAGCTGCATATTTTCAAACTTGTAATTAATAAGTTAAGAGTGTCACTAGAATAACAATTTCTTAATTGATGTTTGAAGAACTGTATGTTTGACATATTGGTCCATCTTTTACACAGAATTTGCACAATGTGTTATACAGTTTTCAGATCTTTCCATTTTTTTAGTCATATTTTCATATATTTTATAAACAGTCATATATATATATATATATATTATATCTTATTTGTCATATAAATAGTCAGATATTTTATTTTATTTATTCCATTCTGTTTACTTAATTGTTGTTCCTACTGTAAAGTCTGCCAATGTAGTTATTTTACTTCCTCCACAAAAAAAGAAAAAGAACAAAACTGGCACAGATTTTATTGTTAAAATGACACAGAAGAACAGTAAAAGGGGCTATAGTTTAAAAAATAACCATATCATAAATATTTTGTGCGAAGAAACACTGCACAATTATGTAATTTTCTGTAAATGTCTGATTAATTATAATTGTAACTGTAACAAATTATGCAGGAGGGTGTTAAATACAACCCGTCCGAATCAGTTATATTTCTTATGTGCACAAAATTGTTCACAACAAGTTCAAGTTCACTTTATTAACTGCTTCTCGGTACCTGCCTGCAGTAAGTACTTTTAAAAACGTCGTATTACACCTAAGTATCAGCCTCAGTCGGAGCACATGAGTATTATATGCACATTAGCATGTACGGCGATTAGCAAGCATGTTCTGTGGTGGTGACACAGACAAAAAGCAAAAGATAGAACATATGTAAGGCTTTTTGTTAACAGTAATATCTGAAACATTAAAAAAATAAGTAAAAACATACCCCAAAATATTAGTTCTGTCATCGCAAACTGCGCATGCGTCAATGTCAACGTCCAGGCGGGAATCGCGGAATTCAAATTCAACGTCTTCCAGCGGGACCGCGAAGAGTTGAGGTGCAGGTAAGTTTATTTTTGTTGTTTATCATGTTGATATAATTCTTAATGCAAATGTTAACTTATTTAATGGTAAGATTTACCAAAAGATGTGTCATTTGCTTGCTTCTGTTATCTTGTCGGCGCCACAGCTAAGCTGACAGGTTCGAATTTGAGGTTGGTCTGTTTAGCTTTGATATGGAGTAACGTTAATTACAGGTCCTATACTGGCACCTGCAAATGCGACTAAAAATCTACATTGATAATTAAAATAGTAGCTACCATTAGTGTTATGTACATGGCTGAAATTAGTGAACAGGTTAGCATTGTGACTGTGTGATTGAGGCCTTGTCCACACCTAACGGACCGTCTTTTTCTCTACGTTTTGTTCTGTGCTAGAAGGGATCAAATCATAAAGTAATTTTATTATTGTTATTATTTACGGATTTATATGATAATTAACGTGTCCCTTTTTGTGGGGTTCTTTCGTTTAATGTGTGTTAAAAATGGTTTGGGGGTTATTTTACAAATTTGGAGTTATGTTAATATAATTGGGCGTTTGTGCGTGTGCTCGTATGCCTGGGTTGGCGCGATGTGCTTCATTCGTTATAAATATCATCCTTTACAAATATTTTATGTGCACAAAATTGTTAACAACAAGTTCAAGTTCAATTTATTAACTGTGCTTCTCGGTGCCTGCCTGCAGTAAGTACTTTTAAAAACTTAGTATTACACCTAAGTATCAGCCCCAGGCAGAGCACATGAGTATTATATGCACATTAGCATGTACGGCGATTAGCAAGCATGTGCTGTGGTGGTGACACACAAAAAGCAAAAGATAGAACATATGTAAGGCTTTTTATGTTCCTTTTGTTATCATTAATATATCGTTTCTATGATTTGAGTCTATTTTGTGCCAATTCACTTAAATTGAGTTATGTGTTAGGCCTATGTGTTTTAGTGAACTTGGGTTTGCAGATTGCACAAGTGTAGTTAGTGTAACGTTAATTATTTTCTAAAATATGTGCGTTAATCTTTAAGGAATTCCTTCTATCATTTGCATTAATGTAAATGCAACATGAATATAAATTATGTACAATATTAAAATCAGGATATAGTACATTATTCAATAAACAGTATAAAAATGTAGTGTTATATTGGAATACATTATATTAAAAGGTGTTTCTAATATTCATGCATTTGGGATTCATAACTCTCTGTGGAGAGTGCATTAAAGTGGGGGGAAAATCATATTCCATCATATTTCAACTAGTTTTAACTGCTGCTCGAATCTTTTGAATTGTATTTATGCATCATGTAATAGCAGTGAGGTAGCTTACTGTGATTTAAGCCAAAATGCAAGTAATTTATGGTGGTAGCACTTTTGAAATATAATCTTATATAGCCTAATAATCTAATAATTAAAAAAAAATTCTGACTTTCTTTTTTCTTCCACAGAAAAATCTTAATGAAAGCATTTGAAGAGCAGAAAGAAGAATTGTAGCAGTTTTCACCTAATTCAGGTAACTTTACCTGTACTAAACAATGAGTCAAAAGTTCAGGTTTTGCTTTCGATTTGTTACCTGCTTAGATTGAAGTGCTAATTAATAAAGAAACCCTGCTTTGTCTTGGAAATAATTGAGCAACATGTTGTTAATATGCTTAAACTAATGTAAAAAATGTATATGCTTTTTGTTTTTCTTTTTAACAGGAGCACGAACTTGAGGGCCACACACACCAAATTATGAAGATTTTAGTGATTCACAATCCCACAGCCGAGGAGGACCCATCAGATGTGTGGGTTGTTGTTGAGGGCAACAAAGTCCTTACTGGATGTGGAAACAAAACCACAGCATGCATTCTGTTGATGGGGTTGATGTATGCCCTCAACCTGGAATACCCAAAAACCCTTAAATACACTTTTGACATGTTCCAAAAACTTTTTTGGAACTTGATGCAACAAAACCACTCAAAAAGGTTCAAAGCCTCAAGTGCAAATGAATGGAATAGACTGTTCTGTCCCATGGAGACCTGTTTTTTTTTTTTTTTTGCATTAGAAGTTGTTAGTGATTTAGGCATGATTCCTGTTTTTGGGGAGAATTCTATTGTTTCCCAGTTTTCGGTTTCACATTCAAGTTGTGGCCTTGCATTCCCTCTGCAGCGGTGTTCAAAGACAGTTTACAGACTTAAGGCTGCAGTCTGTGTCTGCTGTGAAAGTAGGCAAGTGCGGATGTGTGAACAGAGTGAGGTTCTTTGTGCAAGACATCAAAGACCATAATTACTAAGAGTCTCAGACCATCATCAGGATGACTGCAGAAATACAACTTGATCAACAGTGATCTTTGTCTGTTTTTGAAGTTTTTAAGAAGTTGTTAGTGATTTGTTGTCACTTGAAATTAAACCGTTCTTTTGTACCTTTATGCATTAAGGATAGCATTACGGATAGTTCACCCAAAAATGAAAATTATGTAATCTTGTTGTTACCCTCATGTTGTTCAAACCCTGTATAAGTTTCTTTGTTCTGTTGAATACAAAAAGGTATTTTTTTTCCCTATATAATGGACATCAATGGCTACCGTCAACTTTTTGATTGCTAACATTCTTTAAAATACCTTCTTTTGTGTTCATCAGAATAGAAGAATTCAGAAGGGTGAGTAAATGATTACATCATTTTCATTTTTGGGTGAACTATCCCTTTAAGTATTGTTTTAAAAAGAATGAAATGTTTTATCCATATATTTAGTCAATAAAGAGTGAATGAATTCCTGTGTCTGGCAATTTTTAGATAAACTTAACCATCTCTGAATAAGTAATGTTTAATTATTTCTATTGACATTATTATTATTAATAATAATTAAGTAGATTAACTGTTTTCTGCTAATAATAAAGTTATTATTACTTAATTTTTATAAGTAATTTGCTGTGTACTGTATTGAGAAATATTAGGTAGACTTTACCTAATTTCATTTAGTATATCGTAGCTGTTAAATTCAGGTACTCTTTACTAAAGAATATAGGATGAAATCTACCCAAACAAACTGAGTGCAAATTGTTACCTCACTTTTAATGAGTAGATTCTATAGGTTTGTTTTTATAGTGTACGGTTGCCCTGTGCATGTTTAAATCTCGTCTTATGTAAGCATATCTTATATATGCTTAAAGAAATTAATATATATATAAAAAACAGCCTTCCAATTGAGAACCATGAGAGGTAAACATATTACAGGTAAATGTGCTTTTTGTGGGGTAATAGAAACCGTTGAACATGTAATATTAAAATGTCGGAAATATAGGCCTAGAGAGAATTAAAATGATAAAGATCTTAGAAGGTAATAATAAAGAAAAAAAGAAGATAAATTGGATGTTAGGAAAAGGATTAAGAGAAGGTATTAATCAAAGAATAGTAATGGAATATATAGTAGAAACAGGATTAAATAAACGAATTTGATAGTTAAATAACTAAAGCAAAGGAATAGGGGAACACACAAGCTGGGTTTTTTGGCATGGGAGCTGAACACGCAGCAGCCAGAAATACAGCTTGGTTAAAATTAACAATTAAAAAAATTATAAATAAATAAAATATGAATAGAGGCGGGACTATCATCTATGTATGAATAGAAACAGTTGGTGGCGGTATGTGCCTATGGTGCGGAATACGCCAAAAAAAATCCAAAGAAGAAGAGAACCGTGAGTAGACAGGACTTTTATTTTGGCCTGGCGTTAAGACGTCATAAGGCTGCGCCGCTCTCATCTGGCTCAACGGAGGTTTGTGTTTTGAACTTTTATGTATTTAAAGTGTTTAAATCTATTTATAGTAGTTTACAAGTCATATGAAATCAACCTATTAATTATGTGAAGTGCTTGTCCGTGTGCCGCTTTACGGTTACGTTTTCAGACCATAATACAAAGGCAAAAATGAAATCTAAAACCAAACCAAAACGTTTTTTTTAATATTGCAATTTTCATTTAGACCCAAAACTCACGTCGTTACAAACGTGTGATTTTCTTTATTATGTGGAACATATAACATGTTATTGCATTTGTATTGATATGGTCTAAAAATTGAATTAAACGTTACATAAACCCTAATGGTGTATCTCCTTTATGCGTGTTATTTGTCTGCTATTTAATTGTCTGGAATCATATTTATTTTTATTATGTTTTCCTCATTTTAAACATGACATAATGTCCAAACATACAGGGGAAAAAACTGCTGCTGAAACAAATGAGATCAGCTGCCATCTGTTATTAATATGGCGTTTATTAAAGAAGAGAGTGAAGACATGAGCATTTCAGAGCTACTTCGAGTGAAACGTGAAGATACTGAGGAACAAACAGGTTGGTTTTCAAATGTGAATTATGTAAATTGTTTTTTAATTTTCACAAATATAAGTTGTTCTTTACAAAAATCATAACATCAAAACGTCATGTAAATTCATGTAAAGATGGTCGAAAATAATAGTGCAATAATAGCCTACCTTTGCCATAATGCCATAATCATTCACCGTGGGCACTGTGGAATACAGGATTACATTCATGATTTTTAAGTGATATGTCATTTTACAAGATTGTGTTGTCACAATACCAAATTGAAGTAGTTGTTACCAATACCAGTAAAATGTCACTGTTCTCAGTAATAGTTTCAGTATAAAACAAAAGCTATCGGCACTCTTACACTGTTTTATTATTTTAACATTTTGAAGATAAAAAATAAATGGGTATTTTTGATGCTAATTTAAGTAAATGATACATTAAAACATTAGCATGTAGCCTTCAATTATTTTTGAATTAAGTAAACATGAAGGTCAAGTGAAAAGTCAATAAGTAGAACAAAGAATTATATGTAATAGAATAAGTGTGCTCTAAAAAATGCTGGGTTATTTGCCAAATCAGCACTGAGTAAATATTGGACAGAGTACATGCTGGGTTATTTTGACCTAGCTTATTGGGTTTTATACATTAAAAACCTGTTTTTTTTTTTTTTTTAACATAGTGCTGCTGGATCATTTTAAATAATAAAAATGCACTCTAAAATCTCTGTTATATAAATAAGACAATGTTTTCTATTCATTGGCAAGTCAGTCTTTTACAATCATAAAATACTCAAAAACATTCAGTAAATATTTTAGGATGTGACAGGCGCAGCAACAGCAGTCAATGGGAATCTGTGGGAAGAAAACTGGTATCATAAGCTGTTCCAGTTCATTAAATTACAAACATATATTTATGATTGGAAAGTTAGCTTCACCTTTGCTCGTGCCATCTCATCTGTCAGACATTTAAGTTTCAATTTGAACCCGCCAAACACATAGCGTGATCACAGCTGTGTTGCTAGTTCGCTAGATTAATAGCGCTCCAATTGTAGTCATTGGAGTGCACAGAAACTGTGCTACATGTAACAACAATGTGGCATCGTGTTTCAGCCCTGTTTGCACATTCTTTTGGTGGGAGGTGAAACTTCCATGGTGGAGGGGGTGTGAAGGGATATGTGAGCGTGATTTCACCAAGTACAACATGTTCCTGGATCAACATCCTTGTTGATCCAGGAACATCATTCCAATCAACCAATCAGATTTGAGAGATAACTTTTCAGGAAATGTCAGTTTTTATGCTTACAATCAGGATTAGGTGCTTCTACACCCTTGTTAATCAGATATCATTTCCCTCAAATTTTAGGAAAAAATTATGGGTAGGTTTAGGGGTAGGGATTGGGTTAAGTCTTTATTTTTGGACAGTAATGTTGATCCAGGATCAACAAAAGATGTTGATCCAGGAACATGTCTTGGCAAAATCACGGCGACCGAGGGGGTTCATCATTGGTACTGACAGTAAAAAATGACTCCGCAGCTAAAAAATGACTGAGTTACAGACTCAGCACCTGGGTAAAAATATTTAAAATATAACCCAATAAATTGACCCAACTGGCTGAACGCAGCATTTGGGTTAAAAAACAAAATAACCCAACATTTTTGTGGAAAGTCTGTTAGTCTGCATTCACACTCATTTTAGACTTAATGCACATTTCTATTTTTTGTCCCATCTGTTTCTTCAGCTGTTACCTTACTCATTGCAATTCCAATTAAATCCAAACGTAAGTATGGTTGTCACTCCCAAAACTTTGCAGTGTGTACTTGGCAGCATGAAAAATAACTTCAAATTGTGAATGGGTTATATACCGAAAGCGACAAAATCTGTCAGTCAATTCATGTCAACGCAAGCTCACTGACTGGGTACTTTTGCAAAAACTCATGTTATAATCAAAAATCTGTCTGGATAACATAACGTATCTCTTATTTACAATGTCTTTAATACTTGTTGGTTATAAATGTCTGTGCCTACAATGTTAAACACTTCTAACACACATTGCAAATAGAATCCTTGATTTCTGTTGTTTTGTGTCATTGAACTGGGGTTTGCTTTTTTCACTTTAGACCTAATGCCGCTTAAAGAGGAGATTCAAGAACTAAATGAAATGGAGGAGAAAGAACAGTATGAGAAACATGATTTCATAACTGGTGAAAAACTTGGCTTGCAGACTGAAAAGTCACAAAAACTAGTGCAGGAGACAGATTCTGAAAGTTATTTCACCTGCCATCAGTGTGGAAGCGTTTTCGGTTCTGCAGGAAGCCTTAAAGTCCACATGCGAATTCACAATGGAGAGAATCCTTTCACATGTGATCAGTGTGGAAAGAGTTACACTCGAAGCAAGACCTTAAAGGATCACATGAGGATTCACACTGGAGAAAAAACTTTCACATGTGATCAGTGTGGAAAGAGTTTCATACGTAAAGACACCTTTAATTTACACGTAAGAATTCACTCAAGAGAGGACTGCTTTATATGTCATCAGTGTGGAAAAAGTTTCATGTCTTTAGAAGACCTTAACAAGCATGTGATAATTCACTCTGGAGAGAAGCCCTTCAAGTGCCACCAATGTGGAAAGGGGTTCCAAATA